TGAGACCAATGAGAAGGCCGTATTTCCCTATGGGTTTTCTTTGATGTGCGGAATGTTAATATGCGTTCCGGATATCATAAAGTGATAATGATTGATAATACTTCTGGMCTCAGATAAAATGGCGGAACTTTGATTCACGTCTTATCAATAGTTAGCAATCTAGTTTATTATATATATCTGTGTTGTACCCTATAGTGGTTACTGATGTCTGATAATAACGGCGAGGTTGACGTACGTATTTTTCGTCTACAAATGCACTCAAATGTCATAAACTCATAACAATTAACATTATTATTGGTAGCATGATAGAAGTAGAACTGGTAAAACCAAACTGTCATTTCCAATACGTATCACTTATAAAATTATATGTATACTATAATTTAATGAATATCGAGATTATAACGTTACGAATGTTACGATATGACTATCAAATTAAAATTATTAAAGAAAAAGAAAATTACCCAATATTCTCTCAAAAGATAATTACGGTAATTTTTCATCACTAGGGTATAGACACTGTGTGTAATGGCAAAATCTGGTGACTGTGGCCTTGAACACAGTCTTTAGGAGGGAGTGGCGTGCATTATCACTTAAATAAATCATATCATTATTATCACACAAAAAGAGACAGAACTGATATAGTGTTTTGTGATGCCCATTGGCCATCGCGTTGTTTCATGTTGTTTGGTTGTTTCCGTTTTTATAATTCCGTAACTAAGAGTGATACACGTTGCTAATATTCTATCATATTACATAAAAAGCTATTCTGAACATGTGTTATTCATCACACGCCGGTTCCAGAGGCAGATCAGCTGACCAAAACAGTGGTAGCAGGCGATGTGGATAATATAACTAATAACTAAATAATGATCATATAAACGTACATAAATAAAAAGTGTGTACAGAGGAGGGAGCACTATATGTATTTTATAATACAAAAAACTATGGGTCGGTAGGTAAGGAAACCAACTTGACCACAGTTCTGGTGAGCACCCACTGTTAGTGAGTACCTTTGCAACTCGGACCACTTGATCTAGACCTCAATGGTTCTACCTAACGGCCACGATAGCGGTGAGATATCATTTACTTTGATGATAACCACGGTACCAACTTCGACGTTGGTCTCAGATTTTGTCCACCTAAAACGAGCTTGGAGGGCATTCAAGTGTTCGCGGGACCAACGACGCCAAAAGAACTGAAAAGACTGCTAGAGGAACTTCCAGCGAGTCTGCAGTCCCACATGCGTGTCAGTCTCAACGGGTTCGAGAATAGACATTAGAGGGGCGACCAACCAAGAAATGTCCAGGTATTAAGCATTCTAGATTATTCGGATCGGGTGAAGCAGGTACTAGCGGACGCGAATTCATGGCTGCTTCTAGCCTCTACCCGACACAAGACTGTTGTAAATTCTTCCAACGTCCAAACTTGGGAAGACATGACGTGTAAAAGTAGGGATTTGGCGGATTTGACGGCCGCTTCCCAGATTCCTTCAAAATGGGAAGCACTCGGAGGATTAAATAGTACCATTCACACGCGATATAGCCTGGCTGGCTACTGATCTTTACTATCTGAGTGGTTTACCAAGTGTCTTAGCTGACAGCCGCACTAACAAATTTGGTATCACTAGATACTAAAATATTAAATAAACATTATGGACGAGTTTGATTGATTAGGTAATTAATTTTGCAAAAGTCTAAGTAATACATAAAATATATATATATCTTACACCTATCTAGATTTTTCAAAAAAAAAAAAATACATATTAGTTTTTTTCAGTTATCGACATCTAGTCGACCGGATGAGTGATAGTACCTATCATTTTAACTTTAATTATAGACACCACTGTAGATTTATGAAGTAATCGACGAAAAGTGATTGAAATATATTATATCAGATGGACACGTGCGATTACGTAAATTAGAGTTTAGACGCATAGACGCATAGTCATGGTATATGGTAGTCAGCACTCAGTGGCCATAATAGTTATCCTTTATATATATAATACCGATATTGAATTTTTATGTTGGGAAAACTAGTTGAGCATCAAGATGTTAGTTAATTTAAAGGTTTAGATAAGACATTTTACACACTTAATTTAAAATTAATATTATTCCTTGGAATTTGTGCGTTTGTGATAGGTGATAGCTAAAACAAAAACCATGTAGGTACCTATACGCAATTCATTAGCAAAAAAAAAAATAAAAATGTATGAATTAAAAATATTTTCTAGTCAGGTTGTAAGTAATATATGTCAAGGTTTCAATTAAAATTTTACTCCCATGCTCTTCACGACAGTGTTATGAATCAAAACAAACACTTGTGTATCTTCCGAACTACTTTGTTCAATTTGGGATTTAATTTAATTATTTATAATATTAAAATCATATCGTTTGTTTTTCTGATAACGTCCACATACAATAAAATCCGATAAATAATTATTTGAGCATAGAATATTATAGGTATATGAAATATGACGTTGACRCATGCACTTTTCTCGTATTATTAAACCAATTATTAGGATACCAAACTCAAACGATACACGAATTGTATTCTTGAGAATGTTATCGGAAAAACTAGATTTCTATATAAAATATATCAACTAATATTGAAATCGTATGAATACGGATTTCTACTATTGTGTTTATGCCAAATTGAAGACAGATATAAAGGTATTTGAATTTAATTTATTATTATTATCAATTTGAAACTATCAAGTATTTTATTTTTTTTTATTTTTTTATGATATTTACAATATAGGTATTCTGGATTAGAACAATACGCAAAAATGAGATAAAATATGATTTATAAAATATAAAATATAAAGTATTAAAAAAGAGTTATAAAATATGATTTTTTCAGGCAGAAGCCACCCATTAGTATCTATCTATTTAGAGTTTCTATTTTGTTCTGTTTATAAAGGTAAACTAGTTTAAAATTAAAAAATGAATTTGTTATGTACTGACGTCCCGCTGAGACATCTAAACACGCATATACACGTAGATATATATAAGTGACTCTGGGGCGTATGATTTCGCCAACCAATTCTATTGTGTAGGACCTCAATAGCTATATCGAAGGCCAAACTCCTAGCCTTTCCAAAATATCACCATAGTTGGAATTATATATACGAAATATTGACAGGCGTATCTAGAGATATGATTAATGTCGTCGGGTTATKGAGATTACGTATCGCGAATAACCAGGATGTGGACCGACCGGTCGCATGGGCGTGGGAAGCTGCGATATTAGAACAATACACGCGTACGCTTTTGCACGACTCGGCCATGGACACATAC